GAGCCTAAGCCGGGCTTTTAGAGGCCTCCCATGAATATTTTAGGCCGGAGCAGCACAGGGATGAGGCCGGTGAGAGCTGCAGCGATGGGAGACGCTCCAGGGGGAGTTTTCCGGAATCTTCCAGCTGGATTTGCTGGGATGAGCTCGGATCCTCCAGGAGCACTCAGGGAAAGCTCCGGAACGGGAGATGTTTTTTCCTCTGGAGTTGGGATCAGCTGTGGTTTCATTGCCGTGTGGGCTGGAGGCTCCCGGTTTTTCTGGGTTTTTTTGTGGATTTGGGAGGGAATTCCCGGCTCTGCAGCCCCTCTGCACCAGGAATTCCAGGGGCCCTCAGAGCTGGGGCTGCGTCTCCTCATTTCTATCCCAAAAAATCCCCGGGATAACTTGGCCAAAAATGGAGCTCTCACCTCATTTTTTGGGATCACCAAATCATTTGGGTTCGTTTGACCCCCCCCTGCTCCCGGTTTTTAGAGGCCAGATAAGGAGCTCATCCCAATTATCCATGGAACAGATGATTTCCCTTTTTTCCTTGTTATCCCAAAAAAATGAACCTCCATGCCAGGAGGCCAAGGAATTTCCCAGATAACAAAGAGAAATTAAATTACTTTATTCGCCCCTGGCCCAAGGAGGTGAATTCCTCCCTGAACTCATCCCTGAGGATTATCAGGAATCAACTCCCGCTTTTCCAAGGTTTTTAACCCAGCCCAAAGGTTCCCTGACCCCATTCTGGGCTGAAAATTCCGATCGGAGAAGTGCTGAGCTTCCCAAAAAATAATCACGGCTTGGGAGTGGAATTCTGGGAATTGGAGGTGCCGACCTGAATTTCGGGAATGCAAAGTTTGGATGAGGGAAGGAACTTTGTAGGGAATATTGAGGAAGTGCAGGTGGCTTGATTCTGGTTCTTCCCAATATCCAAAATTCCTTTCAAACTGGATTTCCTGGAAAACACTAGCGTTGCCTTCAAATTTCCATCTCCTGGTTTTCCCACCTTTCATGAAATCCCTGGAATGGTTTGGGTGGGAAAGGGATAAAGCTGATCCCATTCCAAATCCCAGGTTGCTCCAAATCCCTGGCCTGGGATTTTTCCAGGGATGGGGCATCCCAGCTTCTCTGGAAAACAGGGAATTCCTGCCGTGGCTCTCCCACTGATTTTGGATATCAGATAAATCCCATAAATCCCTGCTTTTTCCTCATTTATTTCAGGGATAGGGCGATACTGAGGGCTCTTGGAAGCGGAGAATTCCAGGGATTGGGATGCCCGGGATTCAGGGGCTCCTGCAGGATCCAACCGGCTCCAAAGGAAATCCATGAGCTCATTCCCCGCTCCTGGAAATTCCCATGAGGATCAGATCGTATCCACGGATTTCCCCATATTTAAAGGGCAGCCCCAAATCCTTCCCGGCCGGGTTTTCCCGGTTTTCCCTGGAAAAGAGGCTGCCAGCAGAGGGCACACAATGGATGGAGATGGGATCCTGCTCCCAGCTCTTCCCGAACCTCTTTTCCGAGAGGACAAATGGAGGCAGGAAGGGACATTCCCGACGTTGGAGAGGGTCGGGAATGGGATCTGGGATCCACCAGAACTTCCAGGAGTTTGGGACGTGATTATGGATCAGAAATCCCTGGCTGCTCCTTCCCAGGGATCTGGGATCCACCAGAACTTCCAGGAGTTTGGACTTTAGGATCAGAAATCCCTGGCTGCTCGTCCCCACGAATCTTGGATCTCCCAGGACTTCCAGATATTTGAACTTTAGGATCAGAAATCCCTGGATGCTCCTTCCCACGAATCTGGGATCCCTCAGAACTTCCAGGAGTTTGGGATGTGATTATGGATCAGAAATCCCTGGGTGCTCCTTCCCAGGAATCTCAGATCCCTCAGAACTTCCAGGAGTTTGGGACGTGATTAAGGATCATTAATCCCTGCCTGTTCCCTCCCAGGCTGGGTGGGAATGCCATAAATCCCAATAAAACCAATGGAGTATTAAAGAAGCCAGGAGTGATCCATAAAAAACCATGGAAAGAGCTGGATGTGACTCCCAGAACAGGAGCAAATCCCGGCTGTTGTTCCCTGGCACCTTTGGAATGTGGTTTGTCCTTTCTGATCCATCCTCAGCCAGAACATCCCAAATTTTAGCAGGGATGCAAATTCCTCTCTGGATGCGGTCCCTGATCTTGGATTTGAGGCTGGAAGGGAAAATCCAGACAATTTCTGGGATGGAAAAGGGATTGGGAGGCTCCCCAGATCCCAAATTCAATCATTCTTCCTGAATTTATTCATCCCAACATTTCCTGGGTGGATCCATGGCTGGGTGAACTCCTCCAACACATCCAGCTCTCCATCAGCATCCTGGAAAATTAATTTCAGGAATTAG